CCGGGGCTCCGGCTCGACGTGCAGGAGAAGGAACGGGGTGGTTTTTAGTCAGTAAGAGTCTGACACTCCCTCCCGCCTCACCCAGACGGGAGCAGTCATTCGATGATTTTACCCCCTTAAAAAAAAAAAAAAAAAAAAGCCGCGTGGTCTCGGGTCGGGCAAAGTATAACTGGTTTTCTTTTTATAATCTCAGTAGTAGCACGGAGTCTGGAAATATGCCCGGTATATGGCAATAGGCTCACCCCCTATTACATCAATTACATGGGACTCATAACCTAAATAGTGAAAACTTGGTGTTACATTGGACAGCGCCATTAAGTGTCGTAATGTGCACTTAGCTACCCCTTCGGGGGTAAAAGGCGTGATGTTATGTTATGTTATACTTAGTTAGAACGATATTAAAGGTTGATTGTATGTACTGGCTAGTAGAAACATAAGTGTCTCCTGTTCAGGATTAGGTTGTAGTTAGAAATTTTTCGTATAGACTTATTTCAAGTCTTTTGGTCAATTTACTAAAAGGTACCGGTTGCATTTTCGGATTGGGATGCAGCCACGATCGGAAGTTTGCTCGCCCCTATGAAATGAGCCTTTTTAAGTGTGTTTAAATTGTGTATTCCGAAACTACTGAACCAATTTAAACCTTTCTTTCACCGTTGAGAAGCTTATAGATAGCTCATAGAGTCACATAGAGTACTTTTTGTATTATAACTTTCGTATAACGAAATAAATTATTATGTTTTCGGCTGACTCACGTAATAATTTGACGAGGAACTCTTTATGGAGTACTTTTTGTCGGAATGTTCCTATAGTATCGGGGACAATTGGGTAGTTTCCTTAATCAAAAATAAATTACTTCGACTATTCAATACAATAAGATATTAAAAAATAATCACACTTTCATTTATTTATTTTTTGACCAACTCAATTTTAGCATTTTTCCAGCAAATTTTTCAAGAAATAAGTACGCCTTTTGATGCTAATAAACGTGACGTCACAATACACAATCTCGTACAAAATTCATAGAAAACTGTCGTTTTTGACAGTTCGAAAAATGTATTGAATTTGACTAGTTGACAAGTACCCAATTGAAGAGGAATCATCAAAGCTAGTGTTACTAACCATTACATATTAGTATTATAAATTGATTTGACTTCATAACACCTTCACAATAAGTAAATAGGTTACCTCCAAGACCCACAGAGCTAACCTAATATCGGTTCGTCCTACATATAAACAATAACGTCACGATCAGTGGCTACATCTCGATACGGCCGCCATTGTTACACAGACATTAGATTATAAGCCTGATTGCAAGACCTAACATAATGCCTTTCTAGATAGTTAGAATAAGCTAGATATTAGATAACTTGAAATAATAGATGGTATTATTCTATAAATAGTCTTCTAGTTTATTAAAAAATGTATTATATTTTTATATATATGTATGTTTGCTTGCCTCGTTGGCCGAGTGGTCGCAAGTGCGACTGCTGGGCAAGGTGTATCGGGTTTGATTCCCGGGTCGAGCAAGGTATTACTGGGTTTTTAAGAACAATCTCAGTAGTAACACGGAATCTGGAATTGTGCCCGGTATATGGTAATAGGCTCACCCTCTATTACATGGGACTCATTAAGCGTGACCTTATGTTTTGTTTCAGGGTAATAACTTCAAAGACTTCTGAGGTCACATTCACGAAAACAATATTTACAGTCACATACATACGTTTCTTACTATCTAGTCTACTTACCCAGTTTGTTCAGCAATAACGATACATGAAGATATTCAAGTACCCTATTACAAGTTCCATTAAGATCATAATAGCGTGTCTGCAACCGATCTAATGTTACATCATATTCCATACCTCGTATAACTATGAAGGTAGTTCTGTCTGTCTGTCTGTTTGCTATCTTTTATACTTAATTTGGAACCTTGAGAGGGATGTAAAATATTTGTATTATAACTTTTGTGAGATATAATAAAAAACATATTATGTTTTCGGCTTACTCACTTAATTATTTGACGAAGAACTCCACCACCAGTAGCAGCGCGACAGTCGCCGCGTCGCGGGTCGCGAAATGCTGCTCATGAATATGAGCCTCTAGCATGACTTGAAACTAGTTGAGTTCCTCGTCAAATTATTACGTGAGTAAGCCGAAAACATTATAATTTTGGGATGTAAAATATAATATGGTTTACTATTGGTTGCAGTATCTATAAAAGTGATTTTGTTATGAAAGTCCCAAAACGATTATTATATTTATAACGATATTTTTAACCGACTTCACAACAAGAAGGAGGTTTACAGTTTGACATCTATGTATGGATGTTTGATTGTTGGTAATCGATTATCTCGTGATTAGCTGAACCTATTTTGATGTGGTTATCAGAAAAATATTTGTCACGGTTAGGAGACGGTTTTAGAATATTAATTAATCGACTTCAAAAACGAGGGGGTTGAAGTTGGAGTTTTGAAACATAGTTTATAAAAGAATTATTATCATCTTCACACATGGCTACAGAACACAAAAATCTATTGGGAATTAATCATTTCTGTAATAAATAATTTTCTTAAATCAAGGATACTTAAATCACCGAAACAATGCTTTAGTTCTCTCGTGATTTAATTATTTTGAAGTATTAACAAAACATTATACTATTAGGTAAAATACAGACGAAGTCACATGTCAAACTAGTAGTATGTATATCTATATTACTAATTTCGTCAAGGGGTACGGTAGACTCAATTGAAACATTACCTGAATAACAAAACATAAAAAATAATCGATTTCGAGTCAACAACATACATATTATATTCACAAAATTCGGATTACGGAGATTATTTCGTTTTATTAATTATTTTAATGACACTGACAGATAAACGCAGTCGCCATCTTGAGTAGACAATAAACGTTCCGTTTCATTTTTTTATGGGGGGAGTATTGTCGAATGACTGCTCCCGCCTGGGTGAGGCGGGAGGGAGTGTCAGACTCTTACTGACTAAAAACCACCCCGTTCCTTCTCCTGTACGTCGAGCCGGAGCCCCGGTTACCCGTTAGGTTCTCCGTGACTCCGTTTCATACTAGCTCTCAAATACGCCTCGCCAATCAACACGCTTTCGCGTCAAAAAAATATAAATTAACAAGAAATATGCATAATTTCACGCGAACGAAGTTGCGGGTAGCAGCTAGTACGTACCTATATATTGCATGATTACCATACAAACACATCTATATATGTATCATACGTAATGTGTTACCTCTGCAGCAATCAAAGTCGTTTACCACATTACCATACACATTAGGTGTTATGGAATTGAGAAGTAGGTACATGTAATATTACGATTATGCTTTTTCCAAAGCTGTAGCCAGATATTAGAGATGCTTACTGCTTAGTCTTATCTTCTTTTTAACCGACTTCAAAAAAAAGTTTTTAATTTTTTTAGTTTTTTTATTTGATAGCTACTTCCGCGCTTTTTCACACGCTCTGCTCAGCTCTTATTGGTCGTAGCGTGATGTTTTGTAGCCTATAGCCATCGTCGATTAATGCGCTATCCAACACAAAAAGAATAATTCTAATCAGAATTGTAGTTACGGAGATTAGCGCGTTCAAACAAACAAACAAACTCTTCAGCTTTATAATATTAGTATAGATAAGATTAAAATAATTCCCCATTCATACAAGTTCTTATTGCTAATACTTTGCCCGACCCGGGAATCGAACCCGAGACGCCTTGCCCGGCAGTCGCACTTGCGACCACTCGGCCATTGAGGCAGTCATTAAAATAGTTACAATAAAGAATAATTATAATAGTACAAAGTCAAGTCCACTACAGAGTATTAGAAACATTTTACTTCGTAAACACTTCAGAATAAAACAAACTTTCGTATGATAAATATTATAATTTAAAATCACATTTCCATATAATAAATGCAATTGATTCTCTGTTAATATTATCTATTAAAAATAAAAATATATAACTCAATAAAATATACTAGAGGTATTTACAGGCAAAACAATATTTTTTTAAATAGACATTAGAACAACACAAACATAATTATATATATAAGTACCTACGACTTTTTTGGTCATTAAATATTTTGATATTCTTCTACAATGGCACAACTACGTAATAAAATATAAAAATTAATACAATAACACATTTTTGTCGTAAATTACGTATACAATACAGACTTCTACAATTATTACCATTTCTAGGAGTCATAGGAACTAAGACTTATTAAAATAATTAAAATTTAATATATTTTTTACATTTGAGCAACACAACAGGTGAACATAATATTTGCATTATACATATAACTAACTAGCTACTTCCGTGCGGTTTCATAAGCTCTGCTCAGCTCCTATTGGTCGTAGCGTGATGCTTTATAGCCTATAGCCATCCTCGATAAATGCGCTATGCAACACAAAAAGAATTATTCAAATCAGACTTGTAGTTACGGAGATTAGCGCGTTCAAACAAACAAACAAAAAAACAAACTCTCTCGCTTTACATAATAGTTTAAGATTAAAATAATTCCCCATTCATACAAGTTCTTATTGTACGTGCCTAACATTGATTGAGCAAAATTATTTTTTTCTACAATTTTCTACTTAAAACATTCATGTGTATAACATGTTTATTAAAATTCCTTAGTAGGTATATTTACAACAAAATAATAAAAAAATATTCTACATCCTTAAAAATTATAAAAACCATTTTATAGACTCTTGATTGGCTATTCAAACTACAATAAAAATAAATTACTAGAAAACAAATCAAAAACCCAACAAAAATCTAAAACTATTTACAAAAACAAAACAATTTTTTTATTTCTTATTATTAAATAAAACGTTGCCCCACACTAGGTTTTTTCCTGTGTCGTGGGTGCGTTCACAAACACAAGTTCACATACACATGACACCCAGACTCGAAACAACAATTTGTGGATCACACAAGTGTTGTTCCGTGCGGGAATCGAACCCGCGACACGTTGCACGGCAGCCGGTTGCCCAGCCACCGCACCATCCGTACAGTCTAGTGCAAAACAAGTATTCAAAGAGCTCAAAATTTTCGTCACAATTTTTATAGGTATAACTTTTATGTCGCAACAAAAACGTACTTTGTTCGAACAATCTAGAACAAAATTCATTGATGAAGTCAAAGTCCCAACTAGTTAGACATAAAGTTTATTCAATCGATTTGTATTCAAAAGGCCGCAAGCTGTAGACAGGTTTACAAATAATGTTATTCATCAACTGAGATTACTGTTAAAACGACTTGTCTCTCAATTCGCTTAGCCCAATGTAGATACTCGAGATTTTAATCTAAAGATCTGTTCTTACTAAGATGGATTACAAATTGTGAATTGTAGCTGTGTTTGGAAGTTGTATTTTGTTCAGAAAATTGAGATAATTGTAGTACCTTGGGTAATAGATTGTCCTAAGACTCTGATTGATTATTATTCGTTTTTTTTTTTTTTTGTAATTGGGCGTCCGGTAACCTCACTCACACCGACGAAACACAACACAAGCGTCGTTTCACGTCAGTTTTCTGTGAGGACGTGCTATAACGCCAGTCGAGCCGGCCCATTAGTGCCGAATAGACTCTCCATCACTAAAATTAATTGTGTAACGATTTATAAAATGTTACGATCTGATTTCTCAAAATATTTTTTTTTATGGCCTAAACAGGTAAACGAGCAGACGGATCACCTGATGGTAAGCAACCGGCGTCGCCCATAGACACCTGGAACACCAGAGGCGTTACCGGCATTTTGGGCATTAAGAGTTTAAGGATCGTTGGGGATTCAAGGATTGGGGAGATTGGGGAAGGGGAGGGTAATTGGGCCTCCGGTAACCTCATTCACAAGACAAAACACAACGCAAGCGTTGCTTCACGTAGGTTTTCCGTGAGGCCGTGGTATCACTCCGGTCGAGCCGGCCCATTCGTGCCGAAGCATTGGCTCTCCAACACTTAAAATATCTTTAGGTAATAGGTTTTCTGTGACTTCGACCACGTGGTCAAAGAGAAAATGTAGCCTTTATATCTGTCCAGTCTTCTGGCTCAAAACTGCTACGTTTCTATGTGACAAGAAAACGCATGTATTATACCAATTGATAAATTAACATGTTTCAAGTAACCTAACTACAATTCTTTTGTACAGATTTCTTCGAGACATATTTTTGATCAGACTTGGAAATGAATCACACACTCATGGACTGCCATCTGTCCTCGACAACTCACTTAAGGTGAAAACATTCTAAATCGATCATATGGTTCAATTTTTGTTCAAAATATTTCTTTTTCTGCACCACCATTGGAAGTATATTCCCAAACCTCACCCCTTGGCTACACGACCCTTTGTCAAACAATGTAAAAACAATTTGATCGCTCCATCGTCTTATCGTTTATCTAATTCAATACGTGAGATGTTCATATTCTTTAGAGATTGTTTCCTGAACGTAGATATTAGATAACTGAATTGTTTTTGAAATGATAACATAACAAATAACAAGGTAATGTTATTATATTGAATGTAGATTTATGTAACTTTAAAATTCCAAACTTATCAATCACTTCTTATTTCTTAGTGCAAATAAGTAATAAGTGTGGGAGAGCCATGCTTCGGCACGAATGGGCCGGCTCGACCGGAGTGATACCACGGCGTCAAAGAAGACCGACGTGAAACAACGTTGCGTTGTGTTTCGTCGTGGGAGCGAGGTAACTGGATGCACAATTACCCCCCCCCCCCACTTCCCCAATCTCTGAATCCCCAACAATCCTCAAATTCCTAATCCAGAAGGCCGGTAACGTACTTGTAACGCCTCTGGTGTTCCAGGTGTCCATGGGCGATGCCGATTGCTTACCATCAGGTGATCGGTATGGTCGTTTACGCCATATCCCATAAAAAAAGATATACTAATCTTTTGTGTATTGTTATTTACACGTGTTATAAATAGCCTCGATCTTAGTAGTAATGCCCAAATATACATTTATATCAACTGTTATCCTTAGGGAGACAAAATAAGTCACAACATACCAAAATTCAGATGAACATGAACTAAACTAGCAACAGTTTCATATGAAATCACAGGCCATATAAAATACACTTCTATAACACTTACTATTTTTCTTGTACCCTTTTAAACACACACTTCAAGAGTCACAAGGCAACTGTGTATATCGCAAGCACATCCCAATGTTTTCCTCTGGACTCCTCTTGACTGTGGGAGGTCCAAAATGCACGGATACTGCGAATGGAGTTATGGAGGTCTCCACATGACAGTTACGCCGCTGCTGTCCAGGACAGAAGGTGTTGCCGCAATGATGAGGGTCGCAAACGCCTGCACCGAAGTACGAGCTCTAGAAAATAAGGAAATGGTTTTGAAGATGGTGCAATAAATTGTGGTCTGTTCTTTACATAACATATTCTTTAAATGAAGACTAAAAAACATTATAGAATAACACAATATCATGCTATCCTCAAAAGGCTAAATAAAGGAGGGTTTTCACAGAATATTCACTTTCCATAATTGAGGTTTTAGTGTCATGGTGCTAGAGTTTAATCTGATGATTTAATCTAGGAATTTTCAGAAATCACTAATGCACAGACTCAGTGATGCTGCAATATACGAAAACCTCACTCTATTACGATCAAATTCTTTACATATCTAGCATAAAGTACGCCATAACGATATGGAATCTAGATTATATAGGAACGATGTTTTAGAAATACCAAAAACCATGTAAAATACAATCACGAACTTCAAGCAATATAAACAAACAAGATATCAGAGAAGCGTTTAAAACTGTGCTAATTAGCATAAGATAATGTTAAACAACCTTTATATAAAATAAGGAACAAGTTGTATGCTTGTATTACACTGCTCAATTAAAATTTGCCGCAAAGTTTCGGTAACAATATCGGTACAATAGCGAGGTTGTACTTGAACCGCTTCGGTGCTTGATATCAAATTCATCAATCAATTTATTTCTTGGTTGTAAATAGAGCTATAAAGTTTTGATTAGTGTGTTGATTGCTTATTGTAGGTAAGTATGTTAAACTGCAATTAACCAGAGACGAAAAATGCACCTTTATAAACTTAACAGCGATCGCCAACGGGGGTTAGCGATCTTGTCGAGCGTAGGCATATGACAAACCTCTTAAATTGGAGGTTTTTGTTCAGATTGCGGCTGATAATGGCGATATTGTGGTTAAGTAATTCTTTTTTAATAATCTGAAGTCTGAAATGTAAGTTTGCAGCTATTTAGCAAACCGGAGAGCAGTGTTCACTTTCAAATTAAAAATATTAATTAGTGCTGATGTGGACGTAAAAAATTAGATTAGATTGAATTACAATTTTATCTGAACCCTGTCAGATAAAAGACATTTAATTATTAATTTTATATAAACTTGGTTCTTTTCGTAGTAATTATACTGTTTCAGAAAAAAGCAAATTCATTTCAATTCAATTTAAAAGTAAAAGTATTATACACTGTGAAATCTATTTCGTATTTGTCCCGCGGCAAGATAACTTGCCATAAGGAGTACTTTTGATGTATATACCTCTAGTAAAAACAAAAAAGAAGATGTCATTATATTTAGTTAAAAAAAAAGTTTCATGGCAATACGCACATGAAACACTAGGCGTCAATTTGCAGCCACCAGCCACTATTCGCATCGCACGTGCTACCTGACGAGAAATATCTCTTCGAGAATTACATGACGTGATATTTTTTGCATAGATATATAGTTCGTTGACGTTGTTA